CTTTGCATTTGGGAGGTAACAATGCAGGAGCGGGGCCGGCCACCACCTTCATGTCACATATCCAAGTGTTATGACTTACCTCTCTTACCCATCAAGAACACAGAGGGTCACAGGTCATGGCCAGGGGCCCCCAACTCCAGATGACCAAAGGGAAAGGGTCATAGAAGGACTTGGGTGACCTTGGGCTTCTGGCTTCAGTAGAATCCTCTGACATCAGCCTCCAACATGGTCCATTAAAGATCTCCCCACAGCTATTGAAGCTTGCCAGCACTGTTGCTGTGTAGTATTGATGGGATCCTGGGTGCACGTACATGGTCCAGGTGATCAAGGCTGCCCCACAAGATGCTCAGCTGATGAGCGAGTGAGCAGCCTCCAGCCTACACTTGACATTTAGGGAGTGTACAGGGTGAGGGACTTTTGTTCCAGAGGAACTCAGATCCCAGATCTCTAGCTAAACACATTCCCACACCAGACCCTCGGCTTGGATAACAGGACTTAGGGCAGTGCTCCCCAAGGTGCCAGCATGGGGTCAAGCATCGGAACCTCCTGTGGAGCGTGGGGAGAAGTGGGGCACGACTGCTGGATGGGCGCAGAGCTTTTCTTCAGTGAGAGTGTCTACAACTGATGGTAAGAGTGTGTTGTTGACTGGGCTGTGTAACGCTGCATCACCCCCATTGATATGGTTAACTTTGCTGTGTGAATTTTGCCTCGACTGAAGAAATTAGCAAAGCCTGTTAATGCATCTACCCAGAAGCAGTAAGCGTGGCCTCCATCAACAATTCTGGGGCTTTTCACTGTACCAGGGCCCCCAGATGAGAGTCTCCCACCCAGCCAGTGCTGTCTAAACAGCATGTCTCCCAAAGACGGGACGACTTCTGATTAATTTATTTTTATTTTATGTGTGTGTGTCTGTAAATGCACCATGTGTGGTGCAATGCATGCAGAGGCCAGAAGAGGGCATTGGATACTCTAGTAATGGAGTTGTTGATGGTTGACAGCCACCATGTAGGTATTAGGAGCTGAACTTGGGTCCTCTGCAAAGGCAGCCAGTGCTCTTAACCACTGAGCCATGTCTCCCACCCTGGGACATCTTCTGATTCACACAGGGATACCCTGTGGGCTTTGCTTTGACGGGAAGATCCTGAGGCTTCCCCTTCTTTGTGCCTTTACTCCAACCTCCATCTCACTCTGCAAATGCATGGCCCTCTTGTGGCCAGATGTACGCTCCTATTTTGGACACTGGTGAAGAAAGAAGTCCATGTCTTTGAAGCAGAACCAGCAATTTAGTTAACAGCTTCCTATGCTGGGTAAGCTGGCAGATGCACCTGACCCTCCTGAGCTCCACACTCCAGTGGAAAGAGGGCAGAGTGGAGACAACGTGGCAGCCAGTGGACAGAAGCCACTTGTGGTAGAGTAGGAGGAAGTTGAACAGACATGTCCCTCATCTCTAATCCCTGAAGAAGGCATTTGAGAAAGAGCTCACAAGCCACCATCCTTGGCAGCAACTGGATGTTGGTGGCAGCTTGGGATTGTCTACTATGAGACTTGGTCTTGCTTCGTTGGAGGTCTGTCTCCAGGTTGGAAGCCCTGGGTGGATCTCTGCAGGCAACCTGATTGAAGGTGGCCTTGAATTATGCCCGTGGCTCAGCCCAGAGGGCGCTGGGCACGACATGATAGAGGATGTTCCACATGGACGTTGCTTCCATCTCTGAGATGATCGTACGTACAGTGTAAGGTCAAATTCAGGCCATTTTTACCTCGAAGCTGACAGGCTGGATGCAGGCAGGTGGCAGAGATGGCTTGGCGTGAGACTCCTGGGTGGGGTCTGATCCAGGCCACTCCATTTGGATCTGGAGAGTGGGGACAGTCATCGAGTCTCAGGGAGTTCTGGGGAGACATTGAGTGGATGTGTTGGATCAGATGGTTTGGGTGGGCTCTCTGGTGTCATTTCAGAATCAAAAGAGTAGAGAGGAACTAGTATGCTCTCACAGTAGGTGACAATCCCACCAGGGCTACCAGGTGTCTTGATGAGGACTGGCTGGTGGGGCACCAGCAGACCAGCTGGAGTTCGCCCTCTGGAGGTCCTGGAGGCCTGTCCCCATAGGTATCTGGCCACCATCATCAAAAGCCCCACTGCCTTTCCAGGTGGGTGGGCAACAAGATGTGCCTCTCATTGATGACATCGGGTGACCCACAGTGATGCTGAGGCAGTGTTTGTTCTCTGGCTATGAGGGGAAGGGAGATGGAGGGCCACACAGCTCTGAGCAGTGCTTGGGAGGCCTATGTGGGGTTGGTCAGGGGACAGGAGCAGAGCAGAGTCAGGGTTCTACCCTTACTGTGGGGAGCACACAGAGAGCAGGAAGGTGTGCTTCCGGAACTATAGCAGATGGGTAGGGAGGTCATAGTGCTGGGGCAAGGACAAGGCTGGCCCTGGGTTTGAATCTCAGCCCCTCCTCAAACAGTTTGCCATGTATCCCATGACAAATGGGTAGCAGTAAGTACCACAAATATGGTGGTAGAAAGTAGTAGAATTTTATTCTCTCCCAATTCTGGATGCCAGAAATAGAACATTGAGATGTGGGGTGGACTGTGCTCCCTCTAGTGCTCTCTACAGGGGATAGCCAGTCCCTTGTCACCGCTAGCTCCCACTGGGTGCCACCGGGCAAATCTTCCTGTTTGGGGCTGCGTTCATTCTACTGTACCTCCTTCTCCACGAGGTCCCTCCCTCTGAGTTTCTTCCTTGTGTCTCCTTCCTGCCAAGCCATGGAGGGATCACCCATAAGAGCTCTCCTGGTGGTCCAACATTCATCCCATCTCTCAAAACCCTTAATTCATCTGCAAAGAACTTTCTTCGAAATTCAGTCACAGGCATGCGTTCTGGAGGTTTGCTGAGATGTGTTTGGGAAAGGCTTCACCCTGCCATGTCCACTTACTAGCTGTGTAAGTGGACATGGTCAGTGTTAGGTCAGTGAGCTAACATCTCTGAACCTCAGGTGTCACCTGAGGAACAGGGACTGGGCCTTCACATGGCTCTGGGTATGATCCCAAGTGTGGCTTGGTGCCGGCACCTGCTAGGTGACCAACAGCTTTGGCTCCAGGGAAGCCTGCAACTCTGTGTCGAGCACATGATTGTCCTAATGGAATGCTGTGTCTTGTGCCCAGGTATCTGAAGTTCACACTGGACCAGTGTGTGGAGAACGACTATACCATTGTCTATTTCCACTACGGCCTGAGCAGCCAGAACAAGCCGTCCCTGGGCTGGCTCCAGAATGCCTACAAGGAGTTTGACCGGAAGTGCGTACAAAATGCTGGGGGTGAATGGCGGGGGGAGGGGGGTCACATGCTATACAGTGGGAGAGGACAGCTGCTGGGGTCCATTTTAGAGGTAGAGAGCTTCCAGTTGGAAGGTCACAGAATCTCTCAACATTTCTGTCCTGGTGTTGAGGTAGAAGTGTGAAATGTAGCTGGGGGGTTTGGCATCTGGGTGATGGGCAGTGACTGGTGAATGGTGACAAAGTGAAAGGTGATATTTGCAGACAGAAGTTGGAGGCCATTCATGTCCAATGCAAACAGCTGTTCCCGCCCACACTGAAAGGCATCAGGGAGCAGAGCTGCCAGGGGTGGGGACAAAGTGCTGACTTCCCACTCAATGGTCATTTAACCTGGGCCAGAGGGCACCAGGCGGTTGGAGGAGTTGTGCCTGTGGTTTTCAGACTGTCTGATGGGAGGAACTAAACTTTGCAGTCTTTTCACTCTCAGCAGGGTATAGTGACTGATTGGGGACAAAGTGCTGACTTCCCACTCAATGGTCATTTAACCTGGGCCAGAGGGCACCAGGCGGTTGGAGGAGTTGTGCCTGTGGTTTTCAGACTGTCTGATGGGAGGAACTAAACTTTGCAGTCTTCCTTTTCACTCTCAGCAGGGTATAGTGACTGATGCACGTCTGGGATCCCAGCACTCAGGAGGTAGAGGCAGGAGGATCAAGAGTTCACGGTCATCCTGGGCTACATAGTGAGTTTGAGGCCAGGCTGGGTGACATGAGACTCTGTCTCCAAAAAAAAAAAAAAGCTTTTCCCATTCTCCAGGAAAGGCAAGTGGGGGCAAGGGTAGGGTTACACACGGTCATCCTGGGCTACATAGTGAGTTTGAGGCCAGGCTGGGTGACATGAAAGGCAAGTGGGGGCAAGGGTAGGGTTACGGATCTTGGCTCCAGAGAAACAAAGAAGGGGACACCCTAGGCAGCAAAGTAGCCAACCCTGGGGTGTTTGAAGATGATGAGTCCCTAGAGGCTTTGTGAGTGGAGATCCAGCTCTGAGCAGCGCCATCAGGTGGGATTTGTGCAGGGGAGCTCCCGCTCTGCTTCTGTGCCCTGGCGGAAGCCTGCATTCTTTCTCCACTTATGGCTGTCAGCCTCCAAGCCAGGTCACAGTTGCTAGGGACCCTTATGAGCATTCACTACTTGCTTTCAGGGATAGTGCCCTGCCTGAGTCTTCTGGTTGCCGTCTCTTGGGTGGTAGGGGGCAGCTCCGAGGCTCCACTGACCTGCAGTCAGTTTTTTAAGTGCAATTCATCAGTGACTCTTAGGTGAGATCCACTGAGGTCATGTGACCTCAACAGGGATGGGTGACTTCATGTGTCATTCAGTGGAGCCTAGCCATTATGATCAGTCATCATTCACTACTCACGTGATGAAGATTTGCCTCCATAGGAACCCTTCACCTGGCCCCGGGGTCCTGTCTCGCCCCTTCCAGCACAGGGTACTCTAGCCTCTTGTCTTTCTGGCCCCAGCCCCAGAACCTGCTGTTTTTCCCAGGAATCCTCGCAATTCCTGGAGACTGGTGTTTGGAGAACCAGTCTTGTTGCTCTAGGCTCCCAGGGATCCCAGGTCCCCTCTGCGGATGGGATTAGGTCAGACACGGGTCAGCCTTGTGCATTGCTGTCTTTGCACATGTTGGGAGTTGGAAGTATTGAAGCAAAATCATAACTCTCACCTCAGAGTGGATAAGTGATGGTTTATTCCGGAGCCAAATATGAGCGACCATGGCCCGGGCACACAGATCCAGGTTGCCCCGAATTCCATGTTCCAGTGTCAAAAAGCAGTCTTATGGGGTTTTTATAGTAACAGAACAAAGAAAAGTCATAAATCAAGAGACTTTTCAAATATACTGATGGAAACATTGAGTAGGCAGGCTAGCAAAGCAGGGGGACGGGGACGGGGTCTACTATAGGTCTCAGATGCTATCTGATGACATTCTTAGCTTTTTGGTTGGTGGGACCTGGTAGTCTGCTAAGCTAATACATTCCAAAAGGTTTTTATGTGTTAATCACGGGATGTTAAGTCAGAAACAGAGATGGGTAAAGAAATGACTATTTAGGGGCTAAAGGTAGCCTGAGATCAGTGGTAATTAGGCTCTGGACCTGCAGCATTCCAGACTCTCCACAGTCTCTGGGGCACTAATCAGTCATCAGTCAGTCCGCCTTGTAGGAAATTCAGTCCAAGATGTGGAATTTCCTGGGAACCTTTTGTTCACAGGAGTTAGCCAGAGTCCTGCACCTGTGCACCCACTCCAGCTCCCTGCTCTGGTTATTTTTTGTTTTGTTTTGAGATAGGGTCTCACTATGTAGCTCTGACTGACCCAGAACTCTCTATGTAGACCAGGCTGGCCTGTGACTCGCAGAGATCTGCCTGTCTCTGGCTCCCTAGTGTTCTTGACTCCTCCCCGGTGCACCTTTCTCCTCCAGGCTGACTCCCTCACCTCGGACATCCTTCCACCCTCTGCTGTGCTAGGCCACCTGGGTGCTCTGTTCAGACCCTTCCCTTGCTCTGTCTGAGCCCCACTCTGTCCTTAGCTCCCAACGTGGGGTCTGGTGGGTGGTGCGCTGCTGAGGCTTACAACTCACCGTCTCTCAGACTGGCTAGGAGCCTTGACAGGGATCTGTGGAGGAAATCCTGCCACAGTGGCTGAGTCTAAGGTATCGATGTGACATCACATGGATGTCATGAGAAGAACCCAGAGGATGTAGTCTGGCTGTGTCCCGCCACACAGATACAGCAGACAAAAATAAACTCAAGTGCACAGGAAATAATAGGTATAGTGACATTGAGCTCGAGTGCTTTCCCTTTGTGTTTAGTGTAATTTTATGTTGATAGGACCTTGGCTCTTTTCATAGCTGGTCTCAGTTTTCTAGAATGTTGGATGGGCCCTTGTGTGTGGGGGCAAGAACTGGCATCAGCATACACCAGCTGACCCAACCCTGGGCCGTGCTTCTGTGAAGCCCCCTCTGCCTCTGGGCAGACATTCTTGTAGGTCACAAGGTCCCCTGCTGTAGTCTCTTTGTCCAGCATACAGATGGCTTCATCGTCCTAGGTGGATGCCTGCCTTGTTGAACTTGAGGACTCTAGACCAAGATGTTCTAAAAGTGGGGCTGGAGTGAGGGAGGCTGAGGAGCCTGGTGTCATCCAGGGTGCCGTGATATACCATGACCCCTTCACTTGGTGTTCAGCCACCAGCTTTTATGGTGCTGGCGAGCTTGCCGCTGCCAGCCTGCCCCCCCCCACTCCCCACCAGTCCTTGGGTCCCTGTTGGTGTGCACTCTGGGCAGCTGTAATTCTGACAACTGCAACCAGGTCATCCTGGTTTGGGGCTGTGCTCCATGTCCCGAAGAGTGCCCACAGTCACGGCCTTCACCAGCACTGCAACCTGCAGTGGACAGTCCAGTATGGAGGATCTTATTGGAGTTTGAACACCTTCTGTGTTGTGTGTGTGTATGCATGTGGTTGTGCCTGTGTGTACGTGTGTGCACAGAGCATATGCAGGTGCACGTGGGCGTGCATGTGTGTGTGCACGTAAAGTGCACATGTATATGTCCAGATGTATGGTGTGTGCACAGAGCATATGCAGGTGCACGTGGGCGTGCATGTGTGTGTGCATTTGTACATACAGGTGCACGTAAAGTGCACATGTATATGTCCAGATGTATTGTGTGCATGCGTGTGTGTTTGTAGGTGTGCCTGTGTGTATGTGGGTCACGTGTGTGTACATGTGTATACAGGTGCACATGCATGTGCAAGTGTGCGTGTGTTTGCAGACACACGTGTGTATGTCTGTGCATGGGAGGGGAGGTCACCCTTGGCTGTCGCTCCTCTTTAAGCACCATCCACCTTAATTGTTTTAGACTCGGTCCCTCGCTTGGCTAGAACTTCCCGGGCTAGGTTGGCTGGTCAGTGAGCCCCAGGGATCTTCCTGCCTCTGTTTCCCCAGCACTGGGATTACTAGCGGTTGCCACCACACCCAGCTTTTCTTAGCTGGGTCCTGGGGTTCATAGCCAGTTCACCAGTTGAGCCATCTACCCAGCCCTCTCCTATTCTGGGTTTCGATCCACATCTTTCAGCTGAGCCTGTTAGAAATGGGAGTGTGAGGCTTGCGGTGAGAAGAGTGCTATGCATCTACTTGGTGTGGGAGGCATTAGAATTGGGGGGCCTGAGCACCTCATCTTTCCCTCCTCAGGTACAAGAAGAACCTGAAGATGCTCTATGTCGTGCACCCCACCAGCTTCATCAAAGTGCTGTGGAATATCTTCAAACCCCTCATCAGGTGAGTGTGCTGCCCCAGACCCTCAATAGTCTCCAGGACCAAGCAGTTCTCTCTCTGAGATGCCCTTGGGTCTTCTCCAAGTCACATGCTCACCCAGGTCTGATGCCATGTCAGAGCTTGGTGTTTCAAGTGACCTGAATGTCCACCCTCTGTAGCTCCCCAAGGTCACTCTCTGGCTCATAGAGCGCAGAAGCAGTTTTCTCGTCGGGGATGGGTTCCAGCTCGTGCTGCGGGACATGGGTGGTTTCCACCCTTTCCTCAGGGGTTGTACCAAGGCAGCCTGTCCCCTGCAGCTGAGTCACATGGTAGGGATGCTTAGCCAAGCTTGGTGCCCTGGTGTTTTCTTAGGATTGGTCCTGTAGGCACAACTGACCCTCCGGATACAGGGAGACCATCCTGCTAAGGTTCCTGCTGCAGCCCCTGCTGGTGTAAACCTCATGGTGTGGCCCACAGCCCTGGCTGTACAGGACTTCCAGGGGCAGGCCAAGGGCCAGACCCTTTTCTGGAAGCACAGGGTAGATGCCCCAGGCCCAATTAGCCTTTTACCACCTGCACCCCGAGCAAACTGCCCATAAACCTGGGGGCTTCTGTTGACTCCTTACCTCTATGTGTGGACTTTCTCAGTGAGCAGTGATTTTGCTCCACTACTGAGAGGCATTTAAGGGATTAGTGAGGCCTGGCCCCTCCAGAACCCTGTGGGCATCTTCACTTTTTCTCCATTTGGCCACAGTCTTCAGGCACAAACTGCACCCAGTCACATGGTAGGGCTCCACCTGGGAGGGCCCAGGTGTGCATGGGCGTGTTGATACACTCAGATGAGGCAGTGACATCTGAAGAGGGAACAGCAGTGTCCCAGCAGGCCAGGAGAACTCAAGAGGGCTTCTAAGAGGAGTGTTTGAGTGCAGGGAGGCTGCACACTCAAAGGAATGGTCAGCGTCCCCTGGTCACTCCACACGTGGCCCTCACAGATCTTCACTGCGTTCTCCCCCACCATATCCCCCTCACCTCCTTCCACCTGTCTACTTCCACCCATAGTGGCCCAGAGGCCTGTTACTAATGCACATGACTTCCCCAAGCCCACAGCTACCATGGGAGGTGCATGCTATGCTCTGTGTATAGGTCAGAAAGCAGGCAGAGTTGGGGTGAACCAGGTTCTGTATCTATTCTCCATGTTCCCGTTTCCCCTCTGACTCCAGGAGGCAGCCAAGCCTACCAACAGCAAGGAGAGCTTGGGTTCTCCCAGATCCCTCCCCTTCGAGCTGCCTCCTGACAGCTAAGTTGTGCATCTCATCCTGCTGTGTCCCCAGATCTCTGTCAGCACATGTGGCCATTGGAGCACTGTGGGCAGCTGCAGTCCTCAGGGGTCTGTGAACCCTTCTTCATCAGAAAATGAATATTCCTAGAGGTGTCTGCACTCAGATCCTGGAGCCTGCAAATATGTCACTTTCCCAGCACAGGGGCTTTGCAGATGAAATTAAGCCTAGGGCCCAAGGTGATTGTTGGGCTCCTTAACAGAGAGGCTTTCCCAGTGAGGTCAGAGGAAGAGGGTCAGAGATGCTATACTCCTGGCTTTTAAGATGAAGGCAGAGCCACATGCCTAGGAATATTAGCACCTCTGAAACTGGGAGAGTCAAGGGATGGGATTCACTTGGAGCCACCAGGGCAGTAAGTAGCCCTGCCCGGCCCTGGACTTCCCCACTAGGACCATGATAGCTCTGACCAGGACCCAGGGGAGTGTGCACTGCTATCACAGTAAGCCATCTCATGTGCCCTGGGACCCTGGCAGCTGCCCCCTGAGGATCGCCTTGTCTATGCTTTGGGACCCCACCACTGTGTGCTACACTCCACATGCCCCGACTCCCACATACACACATTCCACACTCCACACACACACTCCACATGCCCCCACTCCCACATACACACATTCATTTGCACTCAGAAACACATCCCATCAGCAAACCCTGCCCTGCCTCAAGCCTCATCCCACACTCCCAGCCTGCCCCCTTGCAGCTCAGCCTTCCTTCCCCATGGCCCTCAGGTTCAACAGAATGTGGCCTGAGTCACCTCAGAAACACAGATACCCTGGTGCCTAGATCTTCCCAGTCCCCAGCTGCTGGCATCGTCTTGCAGGGAAGGGACCACGTGACTCTGACAGATTCAGCTGGAAAGGTTTCCTCAGATGACTGAAGACCTTTCATTTAGCAGCGTCCCCTGCAGACCTGCTCCTGGGGGATGGTGGGTCCCTGTGAACTGGGACCAGTGCTCCAGGCCATACTTGACAGATTCGGTAGTGGGGAAGCCAAGATCAGCCCTGGATGTTCTCTGTACATCACTCACCTAGAAAAGCCTCTCTCTAGAAACCTAAAAGAGGAGGGAAAGTTCACCCGTGCCCTCTCTACCACTGCCTGGAGGCTCTGGTAATTTGGTTCTGTGGGCAGCCTACCCAGGCTTGTCCTGTCCCACTGGCCGTCCATCACCAGGGCAAGAGATGCAGACACTCTGCCTCAGTTCCCCCCTATGGCTGACCACACTGCTTAAATCTTTTACATCATCAAAGCTGTCACTGACTTGGTCAACATAAACCAGAAATGGGCCTGCTGGGTGCCACTATGCGCTCAGTGTTAGTGCTGGTATTACTCTAGAATGTTTTCAACTATTCATACTTTGTAACTGAGTTATTATACTATCACTTAATGTGCCAGGCATGCCACTTATGAAATCAGCCATGTCTCTCTGTTTCTAAGCAGGGGAGGTTGATGTCAGAGGTTATGTGGCTTGCCCGGGTCACACAGCAAGGCAAGAGACTCAGGGCTGGGGTTCAACTCTGCCAAGCAGGTATAACGGTCATCCTGTGCTCTTGTTTCATTCTATCGCTGTGATGAAACACTCTGACCAAAAAAAGCAACTTTCAGGAGGAAGTGGTTTATTTCCCCTTATAGAGGTCACAGTCCATCACTGACGGAAGTCAGGGCAAGAGCTCAGGCAGGAACTTGAGGAAACTTAGAGAAGTGCTGCTTGATGGTCACTTCCAGGTGTGTGTTCAGCTGTCTTTCTACTACAGCCCAGGCCTACCTGCCCAGGGAATGTCACCCACCATGGCCTCGGCCCTCTTGCACCAATTACCAATCAAGACAATCCCCTGCAGATGTGCCCACAGGCCAATCTGACCTAGAAAATTCCTCAATTGAGACTCCCTTCTCAGGTGACTCTAGGCTGTGTCAAGGTGATAGTCAAAGCTGTCTGGGACACATGCCTCTGGCACCAGGCTTGGCCGTACCAGATCCAGGACTAAGGTCTGCTGCCTGTTGGTTATGTGGCCTTGGACAGCCATGCGAATCTCTCTGAGTTTTGAAATCCTCATTTTAGAATGGAGGAAGTGAATAGGAACACTGGCTCTTGCTGTGCGTGTGTGTGCATACATGTACATGTGAGCCCTGGAGACCAGCCCAGACCTCCTGACTCAATTTCTCCTGGGGCTTGAACCTGATAGCTTCGGCTCACAAACTCTGGCGATTCAGCCCCACACCTGCACTAAGGCCCTTCCAAGGGAGTGACAGGACAGAACAGGCCTGCATGCCCCCACTGTCCTGGGCTCCAGCAGGTGCCTGGCTCACAGGAGGGGTTGGGCAGTCAGAGAAAAGTGGTGTGTGACTCTAGGGTGGGAATGGGTGGCACGGGAGGCCCCCGCAGCACTGAAGCAGTCATCGCTGTGTGAGCCATTCCACAAGACAGCCAGGCCCCTAGCAGCCACCGGTGAGACCCTCTTGTTTATCACACAGTATCAACAAGCACTTCCCAGCCCAGGGTTCAGAACCTCTACGTCCTCAGAGCAGAGGCCAGACTGTCCCTGAGTCGTGTGCCATCTGAATGGACAGGTGGCAGGGTGAGGATATCCCGCAGGACAACCCAGTCCTTTCCTCTGTGCCCAGGGTCTGGCCTCTGGTGCATTGGGTGCTTGTAGCTCTCCCAGAGCTCTCCCAGAGCTCTCCCAGAGTCCTTAGCAGCATTCTTACGGTTTGTGAAAGCCACTGCTGATCCACCTTTGTCCGCTAGGGGGAGCCAGTGCACACAGCTCAGTCTCCCCGGGTGCAGGCAGAGGCTGGAGCTGCAGCTGGGCTCAGTACTCAGCTTCCTCCAGTGTCCTCACTGTCACCATCCTCCTGGTTGTGGTCTGTTTTGGCATTGGTAAGCCGGAAAATGTTAACCCCTTGATTCGTGCAATGCTGAGAACGTATGAATCCTTACCTCAGCACTGGCGGACTGTAGTAACAGTAACAGAGTCTGGCCTTGCTGCTGGGGAACTTGCCTTCTCTGGGCACTGCAGTTCAGCAGATTCATAATTCTACATCCTAAATGCACACAAGGAAATGGCACTGTTCTAGGAATTAATGAAACTGGGGCAGGAAAGACACTCAGCAGTTAAGAGCACTGACTGCTTTTGTACAGGATGTGGGTTCAGGTCCCAGTACATGCTTGGAGACCCACAACCACCTATAACTCATTTCAGGGGAGCCAGTGCCCTCTTCTGGCCTTCCCTGGCACTGCAAGCCTGTGGTACACTTACATACATGCAGGCAAAACACTCAGAGGCATAAAAATAAATCTTTTTTTAAAAATAACTGGCGAAATAAAACTATAGTGAATTTTGCAGCCGAGGAAACAGATCTTGTTAATTAACAGTAATGGCCAGAGAAGGACTGTCTGCAGGAAGTGCAGGTGGCCTCACATTGTCACCTAGGAGGAAGAGCCACATTCAGAGGGTCCCATGCCCTGGCAGGTCAACTGGCTTGTCCTGGATTCTTTGGAGAAGATGGAACTGTCTGGAGGAGCCTGTTCTGGGTCTCCAGAGACACCCCTGGGGAGTTTCTCATGGATCCTGCCCAAGGAGGGGAGATGGCGCAATGCATCATCCCAGGCCCACCCCACCCACTTGGGACCATGAGGCACTGTCCAGGGCAGGCAGGCTTGGCCATCAGTCCTTTGAGCCTGGCACACTGTGGTGGATAATGTCGACTGTCAGCCTGACGGGATCTAGAATCACCTGGGAGACTGGCCTCGGGGCACGGCTGTGGGAGATTATCTTGGGTGTGTTCATTGAGGTGGGAAGTCCGGGCTACTGTGCGTGGCACCATTCCCTGGCTGGGACCCTGGAATGTGTGAGTGGAGAAGGAGATGAGCAGCAGTATGCATCATCCTTTCCTGCTCTGACTATGGATGTGATGTGACCAGCTGCCTCAAGCTCTTGCCGCCTCGACTTCCCGCCACGATGGTCTGTCCCTTGGACTGTGACTAAACCTTTTCTCCCTGGAGCTGCTTCTGTCAGGCTATTTTGTCACAGCAACAGAAAAGAAACTAAGACACGCCCACCTTGACACTGAAATGAGATTCCTGGGGCTCTTGTACTGTCTCTATGTAAACTCACAGCAGATTCAAATTGGAGATACATATTTGCTTAACGCAGCTGAGCCTCACGTCTTGAGTCTCCTCCATGTGTGGCTTCCCTTACACGAGGGTACACTCGAGGGTTAGGAGAGTGCCACACAGCCCCAGCTCCCTGGAGCCCCCAACTCCAGCATCTCTCCTGCTTCTTCCACAGTCACAAGTTTGGGAAAAAAGTGACCTACTGCAGCTACCTGAGTGAGCTCCGGGAACACCTCCAGTGTGACCAGCTGCTCGTCCCTGTGGAGGTCGTGCGGTGAGTGTCCCCACTTCCCTGGGCTGTGGATCTGAGGCCCGGCCCACTCATGTCAAAGACTCGGTTTCTACACACACATCCAGCCAGATGAACCCAGAAATCCACAGCATCCACACATGCACAGGAGGACTTGAAGGCTGCTTGAGGGTGGGAGGCTCTTCTCGCTGTCAGGGCAAAACTGATTAAAAACACGCCTAGACTTGGGTTTGTGGTTCTGCCTCTGAGCAGGAAATGAAAGGCATTTCCCTGGTGTGCAGATGAACCGTGTGTGGAATGTAATGTTCTTGGGGCAGCGCTGGGCCTCTGGAAACAGCCAACAGTGTTTCATTCACCTCTTGCTGAATGTGTCACTGGGTGTCTGGGAGCACGGCTGGCGATGAGCAGAGCAGCCCTGGAGGAGCAGAGCAGCCCTGGCCTCAGGGGCTCCTGAGCCTGGCCCGACTCCTACTGCCCTTGACTCTTCTGAGGTCCCAGCATCTTGCCCAGAGTGTCTGCAGGGGTAGGAGGCAGAAACCGTGCAGGGTGTGGAGGGGCTGAACTAGTGGGGTTCAGTAGTCAGTGATGAGAGGGGAATAAGCACTAAACTCAGCCAACAGGACTGGTGGTGACGGAGTAACCTGGGAAGGCTTTTAGGAGGAGGTGACTTTGGATGTGGTTTCAGTGTTTCCAGTAGAAGGAAATGTTCCCAGCTCTCCTGCAGACATGTGGTGTGAACTACTGGCAGGGAGACATCCCATGTGGAACTGGATGTTGTCTTGGGCAGATGAGGAGGGTGACTTTGGAGGAGTGTAAACTGGGCTCCGAGGTGTGGGATTCATAAGGGGGTTCAGCCATAACTCAGAGAAGCTGCTTGTCCCAGGCTGCACAGGGCTCCTTTGGGACTCAAGAAATCATTTTGATGTCCTTGGGGAAATGGTCTGATCTAGTGACAAGGAATAAGGCCGGACAGGGCAGAGGCGCCTTCTAAGACACCCAGCTCAGGCTAGTCAGAGGCCATCAGGCCAAGTCTGAGATCTGCAGGAATGTGCTAGTGGTGGTAGCACCCAGCATGTGGTCCTGTGAATGAGAGAGGAGAGGGGATGAGGCTCAGGACAACTGGGCCTTCCAGAGTGTCCCAGGGACACTGCAGCAGGACCCAGAGGACACACAGATTCTGGTTCTGGTGGGAGCCATGGGTCTGGGTTTGGTTACCATGCCTTGTGACTATGGGACTCTGAAGTCACTGGCTTCAGGGGCTGGACAAGGTATGCAGTCCTGGATCCTGGCTGTGACATGTCATCAGGGCTCAGTTTCCTCTTCTGTAAAGTGGGTGGAGTAATCCCTCACTGTAGGGCGCTGATGTGAGGGGGAAAGGCATCCCTTTGAACTGCTATAGACAGGGCACTCACAAGTAATGACTGTAGGGGTAGGTCGCTCCCACACAGCCACAGGACCCCACCTGGCAAGCCCCTTTCTCCACCGACCTTCCTTGGCTCAGCAGCTCCTGCCTCTTGTGGGTCCCTGTGATACATTCTTGCAGTCCCATCCCCTGTTACTGACTCATGCATGAGCTGGCCACTCACTCCCCATTTCCTGGCTGGCTCACTGCTATCCCCAGCACAGAGTGGGGCCTCCAGGGCCTCTGTGTATGGTTGCCTGCTTGCAGGGAGGGAAGGAAGGAGATCGTAGGTGATAGGCATAAAGTGGCCTTCACTCATCTGCTCACGCGTGCCCTTTATGTGTGTTCTGCGTGCTTTAACTGAGCGCATTCTGGGCACTGAGGATACAGGCATGAACAGAGCAGGAAAGCTTTCAGCATCCAGCTCCAATGCTAAGCTCAGGTGCTCTAAGACCAGATGGTGGCCACGCCCACTCCTGGGCTGACCTTGTGGCTGGGGGTTGCGGGAGTCCTCCTCCACTGATTGTGGCAGGACCACCCTCGCTGGGTGCTCACAGGAGAAGCTGAATGCTTACCTGGAGTTGGACTACCCTCCTGTCTTTTTTGTGAAACTGTAATGTGGGGAGTTGCCAGAATCTGAGTGTGTGTGTGTGTGTGTGTGTGTGTGTGTGACAGACAGAGAGGTGAGGGGGAGAACTCAGGTCCCCACATAGCACCTGAGATGGCTTCCATTGCCTGAGGGCTGCCCCCTGTGAAGTGACCCTCTCCCATTGTGTCCACAGGTATGATGAGAAATTGCAGAACCTGCACAAAGGCCAGCTGCCCCCTCCCACCAAGACTCCACCGCCGAGGCCACCTCTGCCCACACAGCAGTTTGGTGTCAGTCTGCAATAGTAAGTGAGGTGGGCTACCCTGCTTCTTCAGTGCTGGGACCCCTCTGTGTCCAGGGAGGTTCCCCCAAGCCTTGGCCTCCAGTGGCCAAGCCTAACCTATAGGAGGTGAAGGGCCAGGTCCCCACTGAGGCTGGTGCCCACTGCTGAGCATGTGTCCAGGCAGAGGACAAGGCCTTCTGCCCAGCTCACCCTGCAGCTCTAGCTCTCTACCCTCCAGGCCCTTGACTGGGCTTCTCCTGTCTCCTTCCAAGTCAGGCTTGCTCAAGGGACTTGCTTTGGTCAATGAAACAGCAACAGGTGCAGGGTGTGTCATGTCAGGAGGCTGCACTGAGAGCCAGTGTGCTCATCCACCTGTCCAGACAGTGCTGGTCCCCCTGCCTCCCTGAGTCAGTGCAGGAGAGGCTGTCACAGTAGCTTAAATCCTCCCTCTTTGACTAGCTGCGACCCCAGCCTACCTCTCCCCTCCTCTCTGCTTATGTCTTAATTTCTGGAATGAACCAGCTGGATCGTGCAATCTTTTCTCTTCAGTGGCTTCCTGCAGACTGGTCTGTGTCCCACCTGTTTACCACGTCAGCTTCATCCTGATCATCCCAAACCCTGTCTTCCAAAACTTCCCTGGGGCCTGATCCAGATTCCCAGGCGCCTCCCCTCTGGAGTTTCTCTCTTTTTGTGTCCCCTGCCCTGGTTGTAGACCAGAAAATCCTAGTGTGTGTGTGTGTGTGTGTGTGTGTGTGTGTGTGTGTGTGTTGTATGTGTGTGTGTGTGTATGTGTGTGTGTTTAACTTTATTATTTTTGTTTTATGTGTATCCATGTATTGCCTGTGTGTAGGTAAGTGCACCTGTGTCATGCAATGCCCACAGAGGACAGAAGAGGCTGTCGGATCCCCTGGGACTGGAGTTTCGGACAGTTGTTAGCTGCCATGTGGGTGCTGGGATTCGAACCTGGGGTCTTCTGCAAGAACAACCAGTGTTCTTAACCACTGAGCCATCTCTCCAGCCCCAAAATCCTACATGTTTTAACCTAGAGGAGCTGCAGCATTCAGGTTGATCCACACTGTCCATGTTCAGGAAGAACGGGGCCTTCAAGGTGGAGGGTTAGCTGAGAGAGCCACGCTGTCTGGAGGCCTGTGAACCCTGCAGAGCCACCTCTGTCTCCTCTACGAAAACGGAAAAATGAGGGCTGATGGGGGCGGCGCGGGGAGACTAGCGAGATAGCTTAGTAGGTAAAGGTGTGCTTGTAATCCCAGCTCTGCGGAGGCAGAGACGGGCAGACCTCAGGGCCCAGTCAGCCTAGCCTAATCAGCAAGTCCCAGAGACTCCATCTCAAAAAACAAGGTGCACCGGTGGCTGGTGAGGAACAACACCCCGGTTGTTCTTAGTTGTCCCCTGACTTTCACGTGTACATGTACACATGTGCACACACACACTAGCACACATGCGTACCCACTCACACACACATGCACACATGTGCCCACCCACACAAACACACATGCACACATTCGTACCACCCACACAAACACATGCACAGATGTGCATCACCCCCTGCATGAACACACACACGTGTGCGCATACAGGCATATGAACATGCATGGGCACATACAAGCACACATGCAAACATACACAATTTGAAAAAGGAAAAACAAAGAATGAGTCAGAGGTTTCTGAAGCTCACGTCTGAGTAACGTGGTGTGCCAGAAAGTGTTGGTCTTTGTCAGCCTGTCCGGTCCACTGTCACGTGACTTCTCGGAGACTATTTCCATTCACCTCAGGTAGGAGAGGCAAAATCAGACCAAAGACAGGATCCTGTCTGAGTCCAGTCTGGTGGCCAGTGAGATGAGGGGGTCACTCAAAACAGAAGCATAGGTGACTCGGGGGGCTGCATCACTCAGCCTCAGCCCAGCACGGGTGGTGACCCATGAAAGATGAACCCCTGAAGCTCCATGTAGGATTTGCCAGCAGCAACACCACCCAGACCCTCCTCTCCCCACTTTACCGCTTATACAGCCTCACACAAGTCTCTTGAGCCTTGTAAGTTTTGGGTGAGTTTCATGAACCTTGAGAGTCTCCCTCCTCCCTCCTCCCTCCTGCTTCCTTCCTCCTCCTCCCCTTCTTCCATCCTCCTTCCTTTCTCTCTCTCATCCTCCCTCCTTCCTCCTCTCTGCCCCATTCCTCCTCCTCTTTTCTCCCTCCTCCCCCTTCCTTCCAGGAGCGGATGCTTCATTGTGGAGGAAACAGCCCTAGAGCCTGTGCTGAGGCCACCAGGGACCCCTTGGGTCTTACAGCCTGAGCACTGTCTGTCATCGTGCCAGGGTCCATTTCTGTTCCAGGGCCAGTTGCAACTCTTAACCATCAGTTCATTACACAAACAAAGCTGGCATGTAGCTTGATGGTTGAGTGTCCACCTAGCATACACTAGGCGTGGAGTCCTACCTTAGCACCACACACAAAATTCAGTTCATTATCTCTTTAGGGAACAGCGAGCAATGTCAGATGGTCTTTGAAACATATTCCGAAAGCTCCACTTTGAGAGATAATCCGTGCGATTGCCTCTTTAAATTAATATTTTATGCCTTCTCATTGCCAATGACTATAATAAAATGGCAATAAACATATTAAATAAAGCACCAGATATGTAATTTGTTTGGACTGTGAATGAATGGAAGTCATTAAAATTCATAACCAAATCCTATTCACAAATGTTAATTCGCACAACAGAAAGCTGTCACTAGAACGAGCCTCTTAAGTCAATAGAGGAGACGAAGGCGGACTCCGAGGTCTCGCTCTGGCTCCGGCTGGGCCACAGCTCAGAGGTGCAGTGTTTGCCCAGCATGTACAAAGCCCTGCATTCATCCCCAGCACTGCAGAAATGAAAGAGAGCCTGCTTGCCATCCCGAGGTGGGAAGATAGAAGTGTCTGAGTCCCGTCTGGATGGTGGTGGGGCTGGCATAGAGGACAAAGCAGGTCACAGCCAAGTGCTGGCACTCCCATCCAGGCTTAGGAGGTCCAAGCTGATGGCTTAACGTCCTGACCCAGTTTCACTGTACCTGGGGATGAGGTGCTGCCCTCCTCACATACCTGGTCCATGAGCCTGTGACCAGAGCTTTCAGATAGTGCATGCTGCCCGCATCATTTTCCTTCACGGTCCCCTCCTCCTAAAAGCCTTCCTAATGGCTCCACACAGATTGGGATGTGTAATGCTCCTCTGACATGCACATACATGCACACACCACACATGTCACACATGTATATACACACGCACACACAAAAACATATACATGTACCCACACATACATATGCACATGTACATATTTACATATGTGTATGCCTGCATTTATACATATATGTGCACACGTGTACATATGTGCATGAACAAGCATGCACATGCACACACGCTGCAGCCTCCAGCATGCTTCACAGAGCAGGATCCAATGTCTATATGCAGGACGGTCCTACAAGTGGGTCTAGGAACTGTCTGGGCCTGGAATATTAGATTTGCTTTCTTTTTTCAAAAAATATTTTTTAATATTTTATTTTCATTTTATGTGTATGCGTGTATCCTCTGCATGTAGGTAGGTGCACCTGTGTCGTGCAATGCCCGTGGAGGACAGAAGAGACTGTCAAGATTCCCTGGAACTGGAGTTATGGACAGTTGTTAGCTGCCATGTGGGTGCTGGGATTTGAACCCGGGCCTTCTGCAGGAGCTGTCTGTGTTCTTAACTGCTGAGCCATCTTTCCAGCCCCCTGCTTTCTTTTTTATTTTTTATTTTTATTTTATGTATGTGAGTGTTTTGCCTGCACGTATGTAAGTGTACTCATGTCATGCAATTCCCAGAAGAGGGTGTCAGATCCCCTGGAACTGGAGTTATGGACGGTTGTGAGCCACCACATAGGAGCTGGGAACCTAACTCGGGTCCTCTGCATAGGCAGACAGTAACTATGGAGCCATCTCTCCAGCCCTTACTTTTTCTTTTTTAATATACAATTCTGTGGACTTACTGTATTCGCAGCCATGTGCCACCATCTGCATAATAATACCAGAACATTTCACCCAGGTCCACTGCTGGCCACACCCTGTTCCTCCCTCTCCTGTCCCTGCCAGACCCTAGCCTCCTCTCAGTCTCCAGATTCTAGACATTTCATGCAAACAGACCACACAATTCATGGCTATTTTTAGCTGTTTCCTTCTGCCTAGATTTTTCCAGGTTCATCCAAGGTGCAGCAGAGTGTGGCCACCCAGGTTCTATTCCTTCTCCCCAATTATTGAACATTCGGCCTGCTTCACCTTTTGGTTGTTATATCTAATGCAGCCCTGAAGTTCAAGTTTGTGTTAGAGGTCTGAGTTGGGCTTCATTTAGGAGGCAGTGCCTGTCTTGTAGGGCTGGAAAAGCGGGCTGCCCCACAGGACAGGCCCGGATTCTGCCCGCGCCCTGACAAGCTTCTTGTAGTCTCATGCCTCCCTCCAGGCTCTCTCCTGTTTGTGCATTCCTGGCATGTGAAAGCTGAAAAAAAAACCAAAAAACTGCTCTGATGACTCCAAGTCCTTTCCCCAGAGGAGAGAGTCAAGAGAGTTATGTGCTGAGAATCCCTGGCATCTTCCGGGACAGATGGCCATCCCCAAGCCCGGTGCTACCACTGAATCGCACTCCATCCTGCAGGCTGCTCCCTCCTGTGCCCCTTGGAACTGTAGCTCAGGAGGTGGGCTTAAAACACCCCAGGCATCCTTAAAGTGACTTGACCCTGGCCTGTGCCATTGAGGTGCCTGGAGGGACATGGTGTGACATTTTCCACTGCTCTGGACATCCCCACCCAGGCGGGAAGTGAGGTGGGCCATCTGCTCTCCTGCCCAGGGTAATCGTTATTCTGTGCTAGCTCTGCCAGTCCATCAGCTAAGCCTCCGTCTTTGCCAGCAAGTAGGGACTGCAGGGGGAGATGAAGAGTGGGGTTCTTTGCAGAAAGCCACAACTTTTGCCAAGCTCCTGACTGCTGTGAGCAGAGACAGGCGCAGATAGAGTGCTGCTCCATAAGTCCGCAGCCCAGTGGACCCTCAAATGGAAAAGTCCTTCCCCTTGGGAGCCTCTGTTTTCTCATCTGCCAGAGGAGCTGGCGTTGAATCGTCCTAAAGGTGCAGCCTGTCTGAAGTCTGCTTTCAAAAGCACAGAGCAGCTGAGCCCCAGGCAGAGAGGTCTTCAGTAGCTCAGCCTTGTCCCACCTGCTCTGCAGAGCTCCCCAGAAGTGGTGTCTTGCTGTGGGACCTGCCTGGTCACCACAGCTCACTGTGCCCACTTGTGCCCCTATGCCATGGGCCACCTGTGTTCTCCCTGGGGACACTGCTCAGCCCTGGTGTTAAAATGATTTCTGCTGTCAGCACAATTGACTCCCCAATTTATTGACACCCCTGCCTGCAACCCTTAAACCTTAAAGAGGGGCTGCCAGCACCTCAGATTTCCAAAAAATGGGGAAACTGAGGCTGGGGAGTGTGTGGCACTGGCTGGTGGTGATGCAATATGACAGGCAGGACAGACCGGCTCAGACTAGCTGGCTTCCTTGGGAGTAGCGCCACAGTGTCCAGCTTACCCCTACCCTCCCTCCCCAGAGTCACCTCCTCCCTGACATAGGTGGACTGAGGAGGGCCCATCCTATCCTGGGCCTCCTGGAGGCAGAACTGGCCTTGTGGCTGCTTGGTGACTGTCCAGGGTCCCACACATGCAACTTTAACAAGGAGAGATCACCGTGAAACCAAGCCACTCATGGAGTGAGGGTGTGCGGAAACCATCACTGCTGTCACGTGGATGTTGCTGTTGAACTGGGCCAAGATTGGTCCAGGAATCATGGAGGTTGATGAAAAGCAGATCACCCTCAGGTCCCGAGACCACTGTCCACCGGGAACAGCATGGAGAAGTGAAAGGGTCTGCTCAGAGGACATTAGGTAGGTCACCATGGTGACCCTCCAGCCATCCCAGGAGACAGACCTCATACCACACCCATTTAACAGAACAGGAAGTGGAAGCTCAGGGAGGCTAGCCCTAGTTCAGTTAGCAGAGCCAGGACGCGGGAGATGCCACGCCTCACTAGATTGTGTGCTGGTGTCTGGTGACCTTGACACTGAGTCAGTACAAGCAGAATGGTGAAGAGACTGGATAGCTGCTATTACCGTGTCATGTTTTAAATTGAATGAGCGCCAAGTCTGGTCTCCTGGGTCCATGCTCACACGCAGACCTTCTCTGTGCATTTTCTTGTCTGCACTGACCTTTTCTCTTTACCCAGCAGGCTCCTGCCCATCCCTTAAAATCTAACCCTGGGGGCTGGAGAGATGGCTCAGCAGTTAAGAGCATTGACTGCTCTTGCAGAGGACCCAGGTTCGATTCCCAGAACCCACATGGCGGCTATGAACCGTCCATAACTCCAGTTCCAGGGGAATCTGAAGCTCCCTTCTGACCTCCGCGGTATTGCACGACACGGGTGCACTCACATACACGCAGGCAATACACTCATATACATAAAAAAATAAAAATAATATATTTTTTTAAAAAAAACTTAACTCTGAAGCTGTCCCCGAGAAAGCCTCTGGCCCCTGGTGGTGCCCACGCCACATTCCGGGCTGGAGTTCTGGTGCTGTGCTGTCGGGTCCTGTTGTTTTGGGGTCTCTTGGCTGCTTCCTAGTCTTGTCTCTGTCCCTGGAGACCCCTTGATACTCTGCTCTCCCCAGCATGGGGACTCCCAGAACTTTCCAATGACTGTGCCATCCATCCAGGTCAGAAATAAGTCATTTCCTCTTTTTTTGTCCCTCAGCCTCAAAGACAAAAACCAAGGTGAACTCATACCCCCTGTGCTTCGGTCCACAGTGACGTACCTGAGAGAGAACGGTAAGAGACACTGAGGCTGCCCTCCTCTGCCAGGATGCTCATGGGTAGCCATGTGCTTCCCTAGGAGGTTCTTTCTGGATCCTGAACATCTACAGGCCAGGGGCTGGTGGGCCTGGAACCCGCATGGAAAGGTGATGAGGAAGGGAGGAATGTGGGCGCAGACGCCCCACCTGTGGTCTCAGACAGTTGGTCTGGCTTTGGTGATGGCTCCCCTGTGTGCTGGCTGTGTGACCTCCAGCCAACTGCATTCCCTCTCTGAGCTTCCATTCCCTGACCTGTCCAGTGGGGTTAATAACCATGTCTGACTCTCAGAATTGTTGTGAAGCCTAAAGGAGACTTGTGATTGAGGTCGGAGAGTGCTGGTACGTGGGCACCCCCATGAGCAGCGGATGAGTGGATGAGTTCACAAGCTCCGGGGCCTGTGGGTGGGTATGGCCAGCAGTTTGGAGGGTGTGAGCCTCATAGCCCTCTGAGACTCATGGGGTGGGAAGGCAGAGGCACAGACAGGTGCATCAGCAGCTGCAAGGGGCTGTGTGTGGCACTGTGCGGGCAGGTTGTCCGCAGGATCTGCTTAGTTTTTTATTATTAAAAATCAGTCAGATGTGGTGGTGCACCTTTAGTCCCAGTACTTGGGAGGCAGAGACAAGTGGATTTCTGTGAGATCCAGGCCAGCCTGGTCTACATAGTAAATTCCAGGCCAGCTGGGGCTACAGAGAGACCCTGTCTTCCAAAAGCAAACAAACAAACAAAGAAACCCCACAAAAAACCCAAAGCACAGCCCACAGCACTAATACAAGGTATGTATGTCAGATCAGCGCACCCACTGTGTGTCCAGCCGACCTAAGGTAATGGGTAGCCCTGGTGATCACCCACCATCACCAGGACAGACTGAAGCTGCATTTTAACCCTTGGATGAGAGGTCGCTGCTTGGCTCCCTGTACTGTGTGTTGAATTGCCACAGACCTGGAGGCTTAGCACAGCCTGGCTTCAGTCTGTTTTGGGGCAGAGATCAGGGCCTCTGTAGTGGTCCTCCACACATGGTCTCTGGGGCTGCGCTCAGGTGTCAACATGCTGGTCACTTTCCAGAGCTGAGGGAGAGAGCACAGCCACACTCCCCGTGACCAATGACCAGGTTCGGTTATTTGTAATTGCAGCTCTGTCTGCCTGGGCGGCAGCACTCAAAACCTCTGAAGATGTTTGGTGTCTGCTGGGGGAATTGTGAGGCCCTCCATGGGTCACAGGCCATCCTGAGTAAACAATGGGTACATTCAGAGGGAAGAGGTGAGGGGCAATTTGGGGGTTTTCTTTATCTTAATATTTTATTTATCATTTTTATTTTATGTGTATGGGTGTGTTGCCTGCATGTGTGTAAGTGCACCCATGTTGTGCAATGCCCGCAGAGGTCAGAAGGTATCAGACCCCCTGAAAATGGAGTTTTGGATGGTTGTTAGCTGCCATGTGGGTGCTGGGAATTAAACCCAGGTCCTCTGCAAGAGCAGCCAGTGCTCTTAACCACCGAGCCATCTCTCCAGCCTCAAAACTATTTTCTTTTAATTTTGTGGATATGAGTGTATTGCCTGCATGTATGTAAGTGCACCCATGTCATGCAATGCCCTTGGAAGTCAGAAGGCAGCATCGGATCCCCTAGACCTGGAGTTACGGATGGTTGTTAGCCTCCATGTGTGTGCTGGGAACCAAGCATGAGCAGCCATTGCTCTTAACCATTGAGTCATCTCTCCAGCCCCCAAGAAGCCGGTTTTAAAGGCAAGAAGGCATGCTGATGGGTCTGGCAGGATTTTTTGTGACAGTCACGTCTGTCCCAGAACTCTTCACCACTTCCTGGCTTTGACGTTTCTGAAGCTTGATAGGAACTACTGTGGTCTGGTCCTGATGATGGTCTCAGCACTCAGGGGGGCACCTTGCTGGCTGCCAGTGTGAGGCTTGCCAGGTAGCCCTGTCCCAACAGCATGTTTGCATCAGTCCCTATCCCAGGCTCCAATGTCCCCTACCCTCCTTAACCTCACCTGATTGGGCCAGGCCCACCCAGGACTATTGCCCCATCCTAAGGTCATGTGGCTGAGCCTTGAACTGCATCTCCAAAGCCCTTCACTGGAGGACCTAGACCAGTTTTTGAAGATCTCTGGAGAACTCTGGTGTGTGTACACCAGGGCAGGAGTCTCAGGGTCACTTAGAAAATGGGAGGGGGTTGGGCATGGTAGCTCATGTCTTTAATTCCAGCACTAGGGAGGCAGAGGGAGGCAGCTCTGTGAGGTCTGCACAGCGAGTTCTGGGCCAGCTGGGGCTACAGAGAGACCCTGTTCTAAAAGAACTGGGAGAGTAGGGGACTGGAGAGATTGCTCAGTGGTTAAGAGGACTGGCTGATCTTGCAGGGGACACGGGTTTGTTCCCAATACCCACATTTCTGCTAACTCCAGTTCCAGGGACTCAGATGCCTTCTTCTGGCTTCTGCAGATACTGCATACATGTGGTGCATTTGCATACATGCAGGCAAAACACACAAAGAATAAAAAAATTTTAAAAAGAAAACAGAAAGAAAAGGAGGGGCGACAGAAAATGCACCTTAGAAAAACCCTGAGCTTCCTTAGAGGAAGCCATAAAGGCATAAAACCATCAGAGTTTCCCCAGTAACCTAACAGCTATGGCTTAAAGACCTGGCTCTGCTCATCCCTTACCAGTCGGCCACTCAGGCCTGAGAGGAAATGTGTGTGGAGCCCACCTGTCTCCTCTAAGGCTATTGGTAACACTCCTGCCAGTTCCTGGGGAAATAATCTTGAGGAGACCTTTAAGCCGGGACACTAACTCAACTTGCTACTAACTGTAGTTGTATCCCACATCCCTGGTATAAACAGCCGCCCCCCACCAGGTTTCTTTGTCTACTTGTAGAAGCTTGGTTCCTGCGGACAGCCTCTACTTCTCACTGTATCTTTGAATACAGGAAGACCGATTCCTGGCCTGTTGCAGGTCCGGCTCTGGTTTCTTGTCTCCTGCTCCTCTATCTCTCCTTTTATTTTCCAAAAATCTAACAAGGGGCCTGCTATTCAGGCACAATGCGCTAACTATGAACCCTGGACCAGGGAAGGGTTGCAGAGCCTTCTTCTCACGGGGATGGCATGGAGGGACAGAGCAGGAGCCAGGTGATGCCGAGCCATGGTTCCCACCCACGCTTGGGAAGGACACAGGAAGTGGGTGGCTAGACCTCTCAGCTTCATGAAAGGGAAGAGACTGGGTGGGGTTGGGTTTATATTGAGACCTACCCATGAGGCCCTGGAAGGAGGATTAAAGGGCAGGAAGAGATACTCAGTGGTCACTTAGTGAGTCCCATATAGTCATTGTGTCCTGTTTGGTCTTCTTGGTTCCCTGAGGGAATGATGGTTGAGCTCTAGAGGAAGGGGAGGAGTTAGTTGTGCTCCTTTGTACAGCATGGGTACAAAGGCCCTGTGGCCAGCTGAGATTAGTATAGTTATGGGTCTGTGAGTCAGGAGACCATGAGGACTTGGACCCCCAGTGTCCTGTGTGTTCTGGAGTACAATCTTGGACCTGATTCATGTGTTGCAGTCAGCAACGGCCATGCTGGGCAGCTCAGCACAAGCCTCCTGGGAAGCCACGTTGTAGAAACCCTCAGGTGCCAGGCTTTTTCCGCTCTGTCCTCTGCAGCCCAAGAAACAGGCTCTAGAAGCTCTACTTAGCCAAGTTGGCTGAGAGTCCGAGAGCTCTAGTGAGTTTTCCAGGATCACACAGCTGATAGGAGGCAGAGAGGGATGCAGGCTGGGTCTGCCTGTTTCCAAACTCTCTTCCTTTCCCAGGTGCCCTGGAGGTGGGACAGCAGGTGACTTGCATAAGATTGAAGAGGAGAAGGAGCCACTCCATGGGTGGGAAGAGCACAGAGACCTGCCTGGGCTAAGGCTGAGAGCCTGCTCTGTCAGCCATAGGAGCTGATGCTGCAGAGGGGGTTGGGTATGGTATTCACAGACCCTTGGGAAGCTCAGGGACCCATGAGGTGGCCAAAGTTCTTTTTCCTCCAGGGCTGCACACAGAGGGCCTGTTCCGGAGATCAGCGAACGCCCAGACCGTCCGGCAGGTGCAGAGGCTGTTCGATCAAGGTAACAACCAACCCCCTCCCACCAGATCCCCCTCTGCCACCCCCAGTCCTTGGTCCTTGGGCTGTGTTATGAGAGGAAGTTTAGCTCCCCAGCCTTCCTAGCCCTTAAAGCAGCTCCAGGCAGGGCTGCTGCCCCAGAGCTACCATCACCACCCTGCAAGGACAAGACCCCAGTCCACTGGGCATGGTCCTGCCTTAGCCCACTTCCCCTTTAAAACGTCACTCATACTGGGTGGCTGCATGGTTTGAACTAACACTGAAAAACACGGGTTCTCTGTTGGCGGTCCCCACCCCTGAAGCAGCTCAGGCCCTGCAAGCAGGAGAGATGGCACCTGAGCTGAGGGCACCACAAAATAACACTAAATAAACAGCTGTCTTTCCCCCAAGGACCCCTATCCTCTACCCTTGTTCATACCCTCCATGTTACCACGATCACGCATTCACTCATCAAACACCAGGCCCACATGGTGCAAGCAGACGCTAGCCTGTCTCGGTATGCTCAGCCCATCAGCCAAGGTCTTGACCTCAGAGCAAAGTCCAGAGTGAAGCTTTACACTGAGGGAATGGGTAGCTGGCCCCAGCCCTCAGGCTACCCTGGAGGAGGGAGGCAGTGGTGGTAGGAAGGCAGCTGGTGGAAGAGATCACCCCATTTCATCTCTGGGGCATGTGGCTGCCACCTAAGCCCCCCCTTGAACTCCTGAGCCATTCTGCACTTGGACCCTGGGTAGAGCGAGGTGCTCAGCCATACTGTGCTCCGTGTGCAGGGAAGCCCGTGAGCTTTGCCGACTACGGGGACATGCACCTGCCAGCCGTGATCTTGAAGACCTTCCTTCGGGAGCTGCCCCAGCCGCTGCTGACCTTCCAGGCCTATGAGCAGATTCTCGAGATCACTAGTACGTGCTTGTGGGGATCCTGGGCCCCAGGGGTCCCAGGCTGCTGGCTCAGGGTCAACAGAGGGGAAATTTGGGGCTGCCGCTCTGTGCATTGAGGCTGTGGGCTGCGGCTGGTCTCAGCCAGGCCATATTGTCCTTGGGGTGGGAGAGTATGACCCCAGCTTGCCTGGTGGCCCTACCCAGGGGACTGTGTTCCTCTTTGAAGTGAAGTAGGTAAACCCTTCCTGGGAGCCCTGTTGGAGACAAGTGTCCTGAAGGCCGTGGTGACCAGAGAAGGAGGAGAATACTGTTGAGAAGCCCCCTGCGGGATCAGGAGGGTCAGGGCTCTAGTCTGGATATGGACACGTCTGCCAGTACCTGCTTCCCCACTCACAAGCTATGTGACTTCAGGCAAACCGAACCCTCTGCACTCTCTTCTCTCATCTGAATTAAATGGGGCTGTTGGGGGATTAAATACGCATAGAGGGCTGGGGCTGTAGCCTAGTCGTAGAGTGCCCGCCTAGTGTGCAGGAAGCCCTAGTTCCATCCTCAGCACCACATAAAGTAGATATGGTGATGCATGATGTAAGGGAGGGGCAGGAGGATCAGAAGTTCAAGGCCATCCTTCACTACACAGAGAGTTTAAGGCCAACCTGGGCTGTATGAGACTGTGTCTCAAAAACAAAACAAAAACCAATGTGCATAAAGTGCTGGGCTGTTTGCTGGCATGAAGTAAGCACCCAGTCACCCAAGCTGCTGTGACATTCGCTGCCCTGCCTGCTTCTCAAGGAGCTCAGAGGGACCATGGTGACGACAGCCCAGGTGGCCTCAGTCTCTCCAGTGTCCTCTCTACTGTTCCCAGAAGATAAGCTTGAGGCTGTGTCATTCAGGGCCGAGTTGGCAACCTCTCATTTCCTGGAAGTATGAATGGCAGGAGACTCCTCATTGTCCAGATCATGAGCAGCCACAGCTCAGTTCTCTGAAACGATGGCTTTTATTGAAAAGCCAATGAGTTTCACAGCCAGGACTCCTGTGTCCCAGCAGCAGGAGTGTGTGTACGTTCCTGTGTCTTCCGGTCACGAAACAGGCTTAGTGGAGGACTGTGGTGAGTCAGAGGCTGGGGGTTTAGGAATTCCGATATGTGTGTGCACATATGTCTCCCGGAGCTTTGTGAGTGCTTATTCACTGGTGATTTTTGTGTGCTTGGGATGGAACCCAGGGCCTTGTGCATGCTAAGCAAGAGCTCAACCACGGAGCCACTCAATCCATCTCTTTCCAAAATTTTTCTTTCAGACACAATCTACTATTTAGCCCAGGCTCATTTCAAATTTGCTTTATAGTCCAGGCTGGCCTTGAACTCATGATCCTTCTGTCTCAGTCTCCCAAGAACTGGGATTACAAACCTGTCTGTGGAGCCGTGCCTGGCTCCCCCCCATATTAATCAAAGTTTTACAATTTTTTACAATATATTTTGATCATATATAGATTCCCCTTCCCCATCTTTAGATCCCCCACCCTTTCCTCTTACTACTGTCTACCCAATTTCATGCACTCCCTTATACATATCTTAAGTCCTATAGAGTCAACTTTGTTTCCCCAAATTCCCTTTGGAGTGGATCCATCTACTGAAGCCTGGTCAACTTACCAAGTCTCACCCGTAAAGTGATTGACTCCCCACTTCCAGCAGCCACTGGTTGCCGGTAGTTCCTTAGGTAGGTTGAGGTCTCTTACCCACTTCCTCACGTCTCCGCTGGGATTTTGTCTGGCTTGAACTTACATGGGACTTATGCATGCTGTCACCATTTCTGTGAGTTATATGAGTAACTTCCCAGCTTTCTGGAAAACTCTGTTTCCCTGTGGTCAGTCACCACCTCTGGCTCACATTCTTTCTGCCCCTCGTTAGCAATGATCCCTGAGCCTTTGGAGGCAGAGGCTTGATGTAAGTGTCCAAACCACTTATTCTCACGCAGTCTCTTGTTCTCTGCTCATGGCCAGTTGTGGGTCTCTGTGTTACTCACCATCTGCTGCATGAGAAACGTTCTCTGGTGAGAGTTGAGAGATGTATTAATTTATGGGTATAGCAAATTATTAGGAGTCACTTTAATACTCTATTTCTGTCTATTTAGCAGAATAATACTATTGGCATGCCTGCCTTTTAATTGGTGAATTTTGACTTGAAGGTTACAATGCTCAGATGGAGAAGCAGGGGATGGGGGGTGATGTAGCTTGGTTGTAGTGCTTGCCTAGCGTGCATAAAACCCTGGGTTCCATCCCCAGCACTACACAAACCAGCTATGGTAGTGCACACGTGTAATCCCAGCACTCAAGAGTCAGAGGCAGGAGGACCAGGAGTTTAAGGGCATCCTTGGCTTACGCAGCAAGTTTGAGGCTGGCCTGGGACATATGTGACCCTGCCTCCAAACAAAACAGTTCAAATGGAGGGTGACTGTAAGGGAACTGAGGGTCTCTGTGGGACAGTTACACCCAGGCCCGCAGAGATGGGACACTGCCTTACCCAAGAGCAGCAGCGTAGGGGTCTGTGTGCAGTTAGCCTAGAGCAGCCAGAATAACTGCTTTAGCCTTCTCCGGCCTGTCCCCACTGCAGCTGCGGGCTCATGTTGTAACACACAAGCAGCCCTAGGCAGTGTGTCAATGAACGGCCATGGCTGTGTTCCAGGAAAACTTTACTGAGCGCTGGGCATGGTGGAGCACGCCTATAATCCCAGCACTTGGGAGGTAGAGGCAGAAGGATCAGGGTTCAAAGCCAGCCTGACCTACATGAGACACTGTCATAAAACCAAAGCAAACACAAAATTTACTGACAAAGAAAGATGCGATACTGGGCCAGTCCTGGACCGTTGTGTGTCTAGCCCCTTCCTGTTTGCAGTGACTCTCTGTCCTGCGTCCCAGGTGGTGGGAGTTTCTGTGCCCATCACACAAAGGAGGAAGGAGGCTGGCAATAGTGGGATGTTGGGCAGAGCTACGTGGCTTGGCTGTGCTCAGGGCTGAGCTGTCCATGCCTGGATCCCATTTGGGACTAGCATGATGTTGCCACAGCCCCGAGCCAGCTCAGCCAGCAGCCTTGTGCCACTGCAGATGTGGAGAGCAGCCTGCGAGTGACCCGCTGTCGCCAAATCGTGCAGAGTCTCCCGAAGCACAACTACGCAGTCCTCCGCTACCTCGTGGGCTTCCTGCATGTGGTAAGTGAACCCAGCTAGCCAGCTCCCAGGAGGAAGAGGAAGCCCATCATGAGCCTGGCCCTGGGGACCTGACCCCACCCTTGACAGCAGTCCCTGTATATACCTGCCTCTTACTTGCCCCAGATCTGAGGTCATACCCTGGGGACCCCACTCACTGGCAGTCGAAGGACTTCTTTCAAGGCTTTTCCGAGCAAGATTTTTCTGAGAAGCTTTCCTGTGTGATGAGGTGCTTAGAGATGGGACCAGGGAAGAGAAGAGCAGGGGCAGAGGGGAGAGTCTGTCAGATGAGGTCAGCTTCTTGGCTTCGTGTGTGTGGTATATATATATATATATGTGTGTGTGTGTACATGTTCATGTATGCATGGGTGTGTGTGCATGTGTGTTCACATGCATGTGGAGGCCAAAGGTTGAAATCGGGTATCTTCCTCAATCACTCTCCACCTTATTTTTTGAGACAGAACCTCTCACCAATCCTGAAGCTCATTGACTTGGCCAGGCTGTCTGGCCAGTAAGCTCCAGGAATCTGCCTGTCTCTACTTCCTGACCCCTTCAATGCTGGGATTACAGGAATGTGCTGCAGCACCCAGCTTTTACATTCTTTTTTTCAGTTATGTGCATGTGAGCCAGGTGTGGTGGTTCATGCCTTTAATCCCAGCACTTGGGAGGGAGGCAGAGGCAGGTGGATTTCTGTGAGTTCGAGGCCAGCCTTGTCTACGTAGAGAATTCCAGGCCAGCCAGGGCTACATAGTGAGACTTTGTCTCAAAAAACGAAACAAAACAAATTATATTGGAAGGGAAGGGTATGTGTGCAAGTGAGTGCAGGTGCCCATGGAGGCCAGAAAAGGGTGTCAGATCCCCTGGAGCCAGATTTACCAATGTTTGTGAGCCGTCTGACGTGGATGCTGGAGATTGAATTCGGACCCTCATACTTGCATGGCAAGCCCTTTACCCACTGAGTCATCTCTACAGCTGCCCCTCAACCCCACCCTTGGCTTTGCTATTCTGCCTCCCTCACTGTCACCTGCTGTCACTTCCCAGAGCCCTCGAGTTAGAGAATGGGCTCAGACCCTCTTTCCTGCTTCTCCTGTGAGCGGGACATAGAGATTTCTCAGGCCTCCTCTCCTCTGGTGGCTGGTTTTGAACCTTTCCCCTGGGGCAGGTCTTGTACTATATTGGTCCCCCAGCACTCAGAGGCCCAGAGGCAGATCTTCTTTGCCTTCTGGGCCCCAGTTTCCTCAACTGCAGGGAGTACTGAGTCCCACTTCCTGGGGTGGCTGGGCAGGGAGCCCCCAGGCAGGAAGCTTCATCTTCACTGCCCTTCCACAGAGAGGGGCTGGAGTTGCAGAACCTCATATAGTGAATTATGCCCAGTTCACCATAACATGGCTTCAGAGGGCGCCTGGCTTAGGTCAGCAGTACTTAGTGGGCCCCTCAAGTTTGCCAAAGTGGAAGGGGACACGATGGGGTGCTCAGGAGATCCTGGAAGACAGAACGTGGAAGGTTAAAATCAGAGGGTCCCCCAGAGCATTAAAGCTACTCCCTTTCACATGTGGAAAAATTGAGGCCACAAGTGGGATGGTGGTTATACAAGGTCTTGGCACTGGCTGGGGGCCCCCATTTATTCATTTATTTTTGTGTATCTATGCAGGTGGGCATGCACATGGTGTACATATGTGTGGAGACCAGAGTCAGCCTTGGGAGACAGCCCTCGGAAGGCTTCCTCCTTGTTTCCCTATACTTTATATTTTATAAAAGATTTAGCCAGAGCCAGGTGTGGTGGCACACACCTGTAGTCCCAGCATTTGGGAGGCAGAGGCAGGTGGATCTCTATGAGTTCAAGGCCAACCTGATCTACATAGTGAGTTCCAGGACAGCTGGGGCTACAGGGAGACCCTGTCTCAAAAAGACCAAAAAAAAAAAAGAAAAGATTTATCTGTTTTTATTTTATTTGTATGAGTGTTTTGCCCACATATAAGTATACCACAGGGTTGAGGGTAGAATCTACCGCTGCTGTCCTGGGTCATCCACAGTTTCATGCGTGGCCTCTTCCAGGTGTCCCAGGAGAGCATTTTTAACAAGATGAACAGCTCCAACCTGGCCTGTGTGTTTGGACTGAACTTGATCTGGCCATCCCAGGGGACAGCCTCCCTGAGTGCCCTGGTGCCTCTGAACCTGTTCACGGAGCTGCTGATAGAATACTATGAGAAAGTCTTCAGCACCCAGGAGAACACTGGGGAGCACACCCCAGACTCTGTGTGGACAGAACAGGCTGTTCCCGTCACCAGAGCGTGTGAGGGGATAGGCACGCCCCAGGCCTCACCACACCTGTCCAGCCTCCATGTCCCATGACTAGCTGGAGACACCTCTCATATTGGAGGTGTCTTGAAATCTGTGCGTCTGCGTTCCCCATTTCTTTTATAAACTTATCCTCTGTAAGAAGAACTAGAAATTAAATAAATGCAGAACTTTTTTAAAAAATATTTTTTACTATTTAAAAAAAATATTATTTTTATTTTATGTGTGTGTATTGCCTGTATGTAGGTAAGTGTACCCGTGTCGTGCAATGTCCATGGAGGACAGAAGAGGATGTCAGATCCCCTGGAACTGGAGTCACGGACAGTTGTTAGCTGCCATGTGCGTGCTGGGATTCGAACCTGGGTTCTCTCCAAGAACAGCCAGTGTTCTTAACCTCTGAGCCATCTCTCCAGCCCTCTTTTTATTATTTTAATTCTGTGTATTTGTGAGTTTGTGTGGGCATATGCACTGCGCGCAGGTACCTGCAGAGGCCGGAAGTGTTGGATCCTCTGGACCTGGAGTTGGAGTCACAGGCAGTTGTAAGTTGCCTGATACAGATGCAGGGAATTGTACTTGAGCACTGTAACCACTGAGCAACCCTCTACCCCATGAACTCAGAAATTTCTAGTGAAAATTTTGTGCTTCTGATAAGTTTTTGTGCTGCTGATTCTTGGGGCCTTCACAGTTCTTGGGATATATATATATATAGCGATTGTTCCGAACTATGACCCAGGGTAACTTAAGTGAAAGGTGACTGTATGGGAGAGGGACCTGGACAGTCACCACTGCTTCAGTGCTGTGTGACAGGCCCCTCGACCCAGGTATTTACACAGCTGTCTGACAAGCTTGTCCACAGCTGATAAAAAGGGATACAGGGAAGTGTGTTCATGTAGACTTTGGCCCATGTGTTAGTTGCTAGTCCTGCCACTGTGATAAAATGTTTGGCTAAAGCAACTTAGGGGAGAAGGATTTTCTGTGGCTCAGGGTTTAAGAGGATGTGGGCCATCATGGTGGGGAAGGCATAGCGGCAGAAGCAGCTCCAGGCTGCTCCAGGCTGAGCAGGAAGCTGAGTCAAGACTGGAAGGGAGCCAAAAAACAACAAAACATTCTGAGATCTGTTTATGATTTTTAAAAAAGGATTTTATTTATTTTTATTTTATATTTTTATTTTATATGGAGTCTGTACCTGCATGTATGTAAGTGTACTGTGTGTGTGCAGTGCCCCCAGAGGCCAGAAGAGGGCATCCAATCCCCTGGAACTGGAGCTACAGATGGTTGTGAGCTGCCATGTGGATGCTGGGGACCAGACCTGGTCTTCTGCAAGAGGCAGGGACCTGGCCTGAGCCCTGCTGTTCACAACCCTCTTCCTCCAGCTCATCTTGCTCACTGGCTTCCAGTCCCATGTGACTCTGCCCTCTATTCCTGCCCTTCTCCCTCGAGTTCCTGGTGTTACACCATGTGTCATCACACGCTGTCGTGTCTGCTTTGTTCTTTCTGCTGCTCTGTCTTTTCAGGTCACCCGATGCCTCACGGACTCCAGATTATTGTTTTGTTTTCTGTCTTTCTACAAGGCCTTTTCTTTTACCCCTTGTTTCTTTCTTTTTTGCATCCTTCCTTTTTTCCTCCCTTCCTTCCTTCCCTCCATGCTTCTATCCTCCATCTATCCATCCATCCTTCCCTCCATCCTTCTATCCTCCGTCTATCCATCCATCTATCCTTCCTTCTATCCTCCATCTATCCATCCATCCTTCCTTTCCTCCATCCTTCTATCCCCCATCTATCCATCATTCCTTCCCTCCATCCTTCTATCCTCTGTCTATCCATCCTTCCTTCCTTCCTCCTATCCTCCATCTGTCCATCCATCCTTCCTTCCCTCCATCCTTCTATCCTCCATCCATCCATCCTTCCTTCCTTCTATCATCCATCTATCCATCCATCCTTCCTTCCCTCCATCCTTCTATCCCCATCTATCCATCATTCCTTCCCTCCATCCTTCTATCCTCCATCCATCCATCCTTCCTTCCTTCTGTCATCCATCCATCCTTCCTTCCCTCCATCCTTCTATCCTCTATCCATCCTTCCTTCCTTCCTTCTATCATCCATCTATCCATCCATCCTTCCTTCCCTCCATCCTTCTATCCCCCATCTATCCATCATTCCTTCCCTCCATCCTTCTATCCTCCATCCATCCATCCTTCCTTCCTTCCTTCTATCATCCATCTATCCACCCATCCTTCCTTCCTTCCCTCCCTCCTATCCTCCATCTATCCATCCTTCCTTCCCTCCATCCTTCTATCCTCCATCTATCCATCCATCCTTCTTCCCTTCCTTCCATCCTTCCTTCTATCCTCCATCTATCCATCCATCGTTCTTCCCTTCCATCCATCCTTCTATCCTCCATCTATCCATCCTTCTTCCCTTCCATCCATCCTTCTATCCTCCATCTGTCCATCCATCCTTCTTCCCTTCCTTCCATCCTTCCTTCTATCCTCCATCTATCCATCCATCCTTCTTCCCTTTCTTCCATCCTTCCTTCCTCTCTTTTTCTCTTCCTCCTTCCGTCTTCCATTCCTCCCCCCATCTCTTTTCTTCCTTCCTTTCTAGCACAACCCTCCCTCTCTGACCCTGCACAGTCAAGCCTAGTGGGTCCCCAGAATGGCTCAGTGTGGAGCCCGAGGCAGCCAGCCTGATGTCCCTGGCCACAGCTTCTGGAAAGGCCACCTAGCATCTATACCTCACCCCCAATGGCATCTGTGCAAGCAGAATTCGGAACAACCCCAACGGGCCTCAGACTTCTGCTGCCAGGGAAAAAAAGAAAGAAAAATGATGGTTCCCTTAAGAGCCCGCCATTGTGAGTCCCGAATTAACAATGACATTAAATCAAGTCTCATGCATTATGCAGTGGGGTTTACAGCGAAATGCATGTCTGTGAAATATATGTTTCAAATTTCCTGACTCTGAGAGGTGCCCCAAGACGGTCACCCTCCCGCAGCTCCTTTGATGACAATTTCTCCTCCACAAACAGTAATTGTGAATCTTAGCCCAGGGCTGTGTGGTCCTATCACCTTCCTGTATCCCAGCACAATTTCCCCACCATTCCACAGCACACACACACAAAAAAATGATTAGAGTGACAATGTGTTGGACACAGGCCCATTTCAGCTTAAAACAATGAGGGCGACGCTGGGACCCCGGGGTATCGCTATCCATAGGATGCACGGGATAAATCGTCCAAACATTCACTTTTGTGGAAATGACAGATTTTTAAGTGACTCCAGAGATTTCGGCAGGCTTCCCAGAACTTGTGGCTGACTTCCACAATCACACGGGCACTGCCCAGACCCACACAGCAGGGTCTGCCCTGGCAGGAAATGTCAGGGTTGGAAAATGTAAAACAGAAAATAAAAAATGCTCACAAACCACCCCTACAGTCAGCCATTGTTCCCGCCTGTGGAGTGGGCACTCACATGTGGCTGGTGGGGCGCGGACTGGCACAGCCACAGAGCACTCTGTATCTAGGTGAACGACTTGAAAAGGGCTGTCCGTCACCAGCAGAGGCAGCAGGTAAGTCAGGACATGATTGAAGAGTGTCTATGCAGGCACAATACCATACAGAGAAACAAAAATAAACTAAAGATTGCCATGTGGATGTGTGCCTATTGACACACATGGATCCCAGCCAGTTCTTAAACTGCAAGGGGAACACTGGCAGAAAAACCAGCCCAAGGCAGCTTACCCTCCTGAACAGTCCCACAATCACTTATGGCTTGAAGAATTTCTCACATGCTGAATGACACAGGCAGAAGTAGCTGTTAAAAACTGACGGGGGGGGGGGGGGTGGGGGGGTGAGGTGGCTCAGCAGGTAAAGGTCTTGCCTCCAAGCCTGACGACCTGAGTTCAACCCCTGGGACCCAAAAGGTGGAAGGAAAGAGCTGACTCTCAAAAGTTGTCCTCTGACCCCTCCATATGAACACCATAGCAAGCATGTGTCCACCCCCCACAGCCCCAAGTCTGGGTCATAAAACAAGTCTTGATACATTTTAAAGCATTAAAATCAGGCAAAGACCATGATGGACTAAAACTGGGACTAAAAATCAATGGGATCTAGAAAATAAAACCCAAGAATTTGAAAATGTTTAAAAAAGCAAAAAGAAATACATAGATCAGTGTGACAAAGAAGAGACCAGATGGAAGGAGGAAGTAGTTTTTCTTTTAATTTGAATCTTTTTTAATGTATATGAGTGTTTGCCTGCATGTATGTAAGTGCACCTGTGTTATGCAATGCCCAAAGGGGCCAGAAGAGGGCATTGGACCCCCTGAATCTGGAGTTATGGACGGTTGTGAGCTGCCATGTGGATGCTGGGAGTCGAATCCGGGTCCTCTGCAAGAGCAGCCGGTGCTGTTAACCACTGAGCCATCTCTTCAGTCCTGAGAAAGTAGAATTTTACTGCACATGAGCATGCTGGTAAGAGGGTGTTCTGGTGCATATGTGCATGTGGAGGTTAGAGGACAGCCATGGGTTTCATTCCTCGGGTACCATTCACCTTTTAAAAAAGATTTATTTTTAATTATTTGTATGTTTGTGTGTCTGTGTATGGGTGTGTGCACATGAGTACAGCTGTCCACAGAGGCCAGAAGAGGACATCATATCCTCTTCCTGAATGGTCTTACAGGAAGTTGTAACCTGCCTGATAAGAGTGAAAGAAACTGAACTCTGGTCCTGTGGAAGAACAGCAAGTGCTCTTAACTGCCGAACCATTTGCCTGACCCTACCATTTATCTATCTATCTATCTATCTATCTATCTATCTATCTATCTATCTATCTATCTATCTATCTATCTATCTATCTATCTATATCTATCATCATCTATCATCATCATCATCTATCTATCATCTATCTATCATCTATCTGTCTATCATCTATCATTTTTCTATCTAATTAATTAATTTTGAGACGGCAGATTGGCTGACCACAAGCCTCAGGGATTTGTCTGATGCCATCTCCTTAGTGCTGAGATTTCAAGCACACGCCACCATATTTTGTTTTGGTTTTGGTTTTGTTTGTTTTTTTTTGTCTTGTTGAGGCAGGGTCTCCCTATAGCCCCAGCTGACCTGGAACACACCATGTAGACCAGGCTGGCCTTGATCTCAGAGACCTTCCTGTTCTGCTTCCTGA